TATCTCTTCTGCATTTTTACTTCCCAGATGCCTCTACTGTCTATCATGGTGCAGATTTTGTCTGCAGCTTGTGTGAATAACTGCTCTAATAATACCTTGTGCAAGCATTTGCCATGACAAAAGTACCCTAAAGTTATTTTTAAACTTCACCATATGAAAAGACATCTAACTGCTGGCACTTGTGCTGCTGCAGTTCATATTCAAAAATATGTGCACAGTTAATTGCTGGTATTAAATTGCACCTTGCAATTTAGCTGGAACTGCACTTAATACGTTCTTTGAAATGGATATGCATGTGTGTGCACACCATGTGTTTGTCTTGAACATGAATGGCCAAGACCACTGGACTGGTGCATTAAACAGCAAAAAAACAAAACAAAACAAAAAAAAAACAACCCCAAAAAAAAAAAACCCACACCACAAAACCACCAAAACACCCTCAAACCCAGACAGATGTAGGTTTGGCCAAAACCTGTGACTCAGAGCAACACTGGGCTGCAGAACATTTGGGCAAACCTCAGTGAGGTATGTAAAAGTTGCTGAGCTTGGGTGGAAGCTGGAGGTGAGCCGTAGCAGGATGAGACTGGCAGGTATGGGATCAGGGGGTCCTTGTCTGTCCTCTTTGCTGTGAGGGCTTTATAGTGGTTTAAATGTAAATTTGAACATTCTGCAAGCTGTAATAGAAAACCAAAGAATCCCAGAGCTAAATATGATTGCTCAACTACCTTAGCAACCACATAAATTTTATTAAAACACCCTCTTGCTTTCTCTACCATAGCCTGTTTCAGGTTTTTTGGGGGAAGTATTTGCTTCAAGTGTTCCTTAAACTGTAAGGAGATAGTTCTGCATTCCTGTCCAGTCTGGGGCCTCTTGGCTGAGCCTGCAGATGGTGTGATATGGTGGCTCACATGACACTGATATATGTCCAATATGAGTGGAGGGGGGGACCACACTATCCACTTGCATGGGCCACAAAGCAGCCAGTGATTTCAAGTGGTTGTTGCCATTACTTATTACTTATTATTACTTTTGTGTTGCCTTTACATGTCTGCTTTGCCAAGTTCTGCATAGACTTCATCATTCTAACAAAAGTCCTTATTCATGTCCCATGGAGTAATTAATCTTTTTAAAAGAGCATTCTTAGTGTTTACTTGTTTTATTGTAATTTTTTATTTACTTGTTAATGTTTATACTAATGTCATTTCTGGGCTTTTTGGGTCACCTCAGCTTATTACCCTACACAAGCAAGGCTTGCCTGCACTGTGTTTTGCCAGGGCCTTTCTACCATTGTACATTAGGATATTCCCCATGAAGCTGACTCCCTGAGCAGCAGAGATTGATTTCTCCTCTGAGTAGCCATATTCTCCACAGAAGTATCCTTTCCAGTTATGTTTTGAAAGTCATCAGACATGCTGTTATAAATGATCACTGAAGATTACTAGAGAAGCTGCAAAATAATAGTGAACCAAGCAGCATCTGTAATTTCCACCACTGGTTTGCAATCATTACTCAAAATGAATCCTGTCTCAGTTGTAGTGCTAAACTTTTTTTTTTTCCCTTCCTCTTCAGTGCTGTATAAGACAGTTGAAATAGATACTGTCTCATGAATTTTTATGCAAAAAGCTGAGCTGCAATTCTCAGTACCAACAGCTAGCATTCTTTGTGAAGATCAAGACCAGCTTAGAAAATGCTGGAGAGAAGTCGGCATTTCCAGTTACTGTGAGGCTCTGTTACAGCTCAAGTGGCTCTGAGATGTATATCTCTGATGCTCTTTCTTCTGAATTTGCCCCAGTATAAATCCAACACCTCCTGCACAGCATATTTATCACCATTCTTATTTGTTAGCAGAGGTTTTAGTGTTTTATGAGCATGGTCACCTCCACAGCCCTTGTTTTCCTGTGAGTCGCTGGTGTCATAAACACCCTCAGTGCAAAAGGACAGATATGAATCAATTTTAATGGAAAATGAGCTGTGTTTTTCTGTATCTTCTGTGCAAGGTTTTGCCTCCCCAACAATGCCCAAGGCCTTGCTCTGGTAACATGCACAGGCAGGTGTACAACTTCAAGCACAGGAGCAAACCCAGTGGCTATTAAACTATGCAAGCTTAAATGCTTCATTCAAGGACATGACAAACCTTCCATCTGATTTGGAAATACCCCAGTGTTAGTGGTACAACTTCTCATGTGTGGTTTTTTTTCCCCACCTTGTGATCTAGGTTTGCTACAGAGTTTTTGAGAGGAAACCAAATCACACCTGGCTGCCAAGAAGGGGAACATGGGTGCCGAAGCTCCAAAGTCCTTTCCTGTGCTGCCACACTGAAAGTTTGCAGCTGCCAGTCAAAGGCAAAACTAGGAAAGAATGTCAGTGCTAGGAGGCAAATTTACTACCTAAATTAGCAACCTTACCTCCTGAAGTGGGGGATAGAAGCTCCACCTTCTTCTGAAACAGAGCATCCAGTGTTGAAGTCAAAAGGGAGGAATGGATCCACTGAATTTGGATTTTACTCCTGACTTTGATGAAGGCGGAAAAGAAAAAAGCATAGGAATGGAAGATGGGAATGGAAGCAATCTTCAGTTTATCAGATATTGCATGTACAAAACCATTTTGTACTTTTCTCTCCACAGCAACTTTTATATCTTCTTCATCTGCCATTTATTTGTTGATGAGAGGGTCTCATAGTGATTAGCAGAGTGAACTCAGAACTGCTGAGCTTCATCTCCCTTCTTTCAAGAGCTAAATGCTCTTCCTTAGTGTGCTACGTGTTCTTAGGGCTGGGCTTATTTTCACATACATGATAGGTACTTTGGAGTGTTTTTTAAATCCTCCTGCACTTTGACTACTGTGAATTAGGTTCTCTAATACACTTGAAAGTATGTCTGGGTGTTAAGTTTTTACTCCTAGACTTCTACATTCTGTTCAGAGCTCTGATTTCTAATGTTCGTTACTTAATTTCCTCATTTAGCCCAGTGATTTGATATAAAAACACTTACCTCTTTCACAAGGATTCAGAAAGTATTGTATTAAAAAAATTTAAAACTTGCTTTTTTATTGACTTTAGTCACTACTAACACTTTCACATAGATCAAATTTAATGGTACCTTCTTCATAGCTTAGCCACAGCAACATCAGAAGACTCTGTTCCTGTCAGCCACCCCTTCTCAATAGTTTCTGCCAATGTGTAAGTTTTGTCAAGCTAAAAAGCTTACAACATTTTCTACAAAAAATTGAAGCAAGAATTTCTGTCTGCTTCTGACAATTCACACATGATACCAAAGCATAATGATTTGTACCATCTCTTCTCAAAATTATTTTTTTCTATTCCTTTTTTTCTCTTTTTTTATGTTCCTTGAGAAAATTTTTTGTGAATTCTGAACCACAGATCCTTTAAATGGGCTTGCAATGAGATGGCTCTTTTATATGAATTTGAGAACATCACTGTCAATTCAGATCAATAATTCCTGAACCAACTGAGTTTTTCAATACAACTTACTGAAGAAGAAGAAAGTACTATGGATTTGATTGCTTCCTTCAGCTTTTGAAATGTAAAGAACAAACAGGGTATTTGAATATTTTTTTCCTCCCTTTCTCTCCAGGTTAGGCTTGTGCAGTGTGTATTTAGTCATTCTGGCTGATTCATAGCCAGCAGTTTGCGTCTCCAAGAGCAAGCACAGGGTGTTCCTTGAGAGATACAATGATCAGTTCTGCAAACACTGCTAAAATGATATCTCTCCATATTATGGCAGCTCCTGCCAAGCACCTCTGTAAGTCGGGGGTTGTATCAGCATTTCCATTATAAATATAACATTTACATTACTACCACCTCCCTTGATTTATCTCATGCTCCTGTGCTATAACACAGAATCACATTTGCTTTGTTCACTGCAGCTGTACAGGGCTGTAGATGGGGCTGGGAGCTCGGGGGATTTTTCTTCAAGTGCTCCCAAATCTCTCTCCCACACTATAAAGCGTAGCGTTGCCTTTTCAGCAAATATTGCTGCATTTTATTCTTTGCTTCGGGACATTATTCTGTTTATATGCTGTGTACCTGGGCTAAGGTGCATTTACAGTTTAGTGGTGCACGTACTGCAGGTGCTTTAAATCCTCCTGTTTATCATCTACATGGTCAGCCAGGAGGAACAGACTTCTTTCTGCACCAAACACCTCATTCTGAATTCTCCCTGTCCCTGGTTTTGCCACCAAGTCAGGACTCAGGTCAAAACAAGGGATGTGAACAAGTGACAGAAAAGGGAACAGTGTCTAGGAATGCAACTTTATTAATTCCATGTGTAATAAGCACCTGCTGTATTCATGGTCCATTTATATATATCATTACAGATGGTTAATAAATCATTAATACATGGTGTTACAGACCCAAATAACAAGCTATTATAAATGGTACCATCATTCTATCAGCAAGTGGTGTTGGGAATTGCATTTAGAAGCACACAGTTGGGCTCGCTAGCCTTCTGTGACAACTGACTTTCCAGTTCTTTCCTATTTAAAGCTATTAAAATATCTTATTGATCACTGCTAAGCGATTCAGAAATGGGTACTCTAATATTTGATGCATCCCTTTATGGGATTTGCTGAAATTTCTTCTGGTCTATTTTTTTTTTTTGCTCCATGTGATTTTGTACCTTCAACATTTCTTCTGGAGAGCAGCATCTGTGAATTGCTTGTTTGCAAGTGGTGAAAATGTTATTGTTTACTCCTGTTTGTTTGTTTGTTTGGGTTACAAATAGTTTGGGAAAAAAACTCTACTTTTGACCATAATTTTTTTAAAAACGCATTTATTTAGAAAACCTGGACTCGATGCCCTCACCTCAGGCAATGTGCAGGGCAGGGAGTGCAAGGGCAGAGTGGGCAAGTGGAATCAGCCAGGCTGCTCAACCCTCCTTCCCTGCAGAACAGGGCATGGAGGTAACCCCAGTTTGCAGGAATGTGGGTATCACCTGCACCTTGCATTAAAATAATAGTTCTGCAGACTTCAAACTATGGATCCAGTACCTTATAAATAATTACTTAAACTAAGAGAAAGAAGAAGTGAAGGAAAAAAAAAAAAATAAAACCAATACTGAAGTCTGTTATTGCAAAAATTACCCAGGAAGGTCCCTACATTTTTTCACCTGCTGACACGCCAGCAACTTTCTTCCCACCTCACGAATTATATTTACAGTTTCCTTGTGGTTTTTGCCCTGAAGTCAATTTTCACTCCAGCAACTTTTCTTCTGTACTGTGCCTTGGCTCCTTAGGTCATTAACCTCAAGCAAGGAACTTTGTCAAATACTTTGAAACACCAAGTCCACTCTATTTCCCTTGTCTGTCCTGGTGGCAATACAGCACTTTCAAAGAATTCCAGCAATTTTCTGAGGCGTGACCTGCCTCTCCTGAAACATGCTGGTATCTTTGCAATCTTTCAGCAAGCTGTGCTGTACCAAATGTTCTTCCATTTGATCTTCTTAAATATTTACTCAACTGTTTCCAGTGACTCTCATTCAGTTAACTGGTCTCCAGTAACTTGACAAACTCAGCCAGCTTGATGAATTGATTGTTTGTTTTCCATAAAAATCTCAAAGTAAACAGTAAAATATATTTTATTCTCACAGCTTGCAGTTTCTCCTGATGTAAAAAATTGCTAATCATTCAGTGGCTTTGGGGAAATATGTTTGGTTGTGTGGTAGACGGAGTTGGATCTCTTAAAGTACTATCTGAGTGCTAACTTATTAAATAGCCACTGCTCACGTTTACTCTTATGTGCAACAAAAATACCATTTTACTCAAAAATGCATTAGAATTCGTGTTACCTGTGGAAAAGTGGTGATCATTCCAAAATGATAACGTGATTGCTTTCTTAGCAGTAAAATCCCTCAAGGAGTGGAAGCTCAGGAGGAAGTGGAATGTCTTCTGTCAAATTTAAAATAGGAAGAGGCTGTATAATGTTAATCCACTGGATTAACTGCTGATCTGAATGGACATGCTGGACAGGGGGAGGCAGGGAATACCACTGGCCTTTACTTCAGGTGACCAAAGGACCAATTAAATCAGTGTCTGTGCTGCAATGCCCAGGAATTTTCCTCCAAAATGAAGAAACAAGGTTTTTGAATATATTTCTGGACCAGATCCTCAGTGTTTTCTGGAGATATCAGTCAAATCATTGCCTCCAGTGCAGACCTCCTTCCCTCTCTCCTGCAGGGCCTGGCCCCTGCCTCACCAACACAGAAGAACATTTTAAGTTGTAAGAGAAGAAAATTTTTAGAGAGCTCTGTTCCTCCCCATGTTCCCATCTCTTCAAAGCTCGCAGGCAGTGAAGGCTCTCCTTTTACTTGAGCATAGGGAAGTTTGAGTGTTTAGATCAGAAAATCCAAGCTTTCTCTCTGCTGTCACTGAGAAGCTTTGAATGGCTGCATTGTGAGGCTCTAACCATAATGTCCTAGCTGGTCATTGATCTTTTCAGACACACTCTTCTAACTGGGGCATCCTTGTGGCATGATGAACGGAATAATAATTTAGGAAGAAAGCATACTAAATCATCCAAAGGCAGCTCCTTTGGTCTCCAAGATGGTTAGAGCAGGGCAGAAGTTTTCTGAGAGGAGTAGGTGAGTGAGGGATGCAGCAGCAAAACATTGTGGAAGAGAGGAAACCTGAGGGCCTAAAAATTCCTGCAGGGAGGGGGGACAGCACATGTTTGGCATCTCTATGGGTGGTTTCTTGGACAGCAGAGAGAGGCTGGTAAGGAAGTGAATTTTTTTCCTGGTGCTCAGCTTTTCAGCCTTTTCTTTCTCCTTCTCTGCCCTGCTCCCCCTCCTCTCATGCCATAGCCCTCACTGGCTTGCAAACTGAGCAGCATTTTTCTTCCAAAGATAAAAAAGATTGAGGTCCATCTCCTTTGCATCCACCCCAAGGCCAAATCTTCTCTTCCTACTGTGCTGCAGTGGGTATAATTTCACACCTCAAAGCATGACTCTTGTTGTTTGGTGATAATTAAATAAGTTTCTCTGAAGCTTACTCTAATTTACTCCTGAATTAGTACCAGTCATTCTTGTTTGTTTGGCTACACTGGTTATCCAAAAGTCACCCCAATTAAAGAGATGGCTCAATCAAATGTGTATAGATTAAGTAGGATGCAAAATTTTGTTGATCAAATTCTTTTTATTGAAACTTTTTTTTTTTTTTACTTTTGTCAGAGACTAGCATTTCAATCAGGCTAATTTTTTTCTCTAAAATGTCAACACTCCTCTATTTAATTTTTCAGAAGCTGGGAAATGTTTTCTTTTTTTTTTCCTTCAGCCACTGGAAATTTAAAATTTTCGTGGATTTTTGAAATAAAATTTTAAAGGGAAATGTTGATACCAATGGAAAGAAATTTACTTTTTGAAATACTTCTAGGGGACCAAAGTTCTCTTAATTAGTTTTTAACATGCTGCAGCTATAAAGAGAATTTGCAACCTCTCATTTTGCAAACAGTATAGATATTCTCCTTACAACTGCCTGTTTTCATATTGATTTTTTTATTTCTTGAAGAATCTTACACTGTTAATTCACTTCAGATAATGCGTGTATGGATACAGTAGTATTGCAGATCAGTTTTCTGATGCAAGGGTTTGCTAATGACTGTGGAAGAGATTTCTGCAAGGCAAACACTGGTCCTGGGAGCCTGGGTGAGGGGAGAAATTTAAGTGTTGTGTAGATGTTGTAAGTGAGGTTATGGCTATTTTATCTGTGGCTGGAATGCTTTTTTAGTCCCATTCTTGTATTTCTGTTACAGATGCTCCATCCATTTACATACCTGAACACTTTCAATACACTCAGCACATACCTTTAACGGCCCACTCTGCATTTTAATCATCAAAACCATCTTGTGGTGTGGCCATCAGCCTTCCAGTCAAAGGCTTCAAGTGGTGGAGGATCAGAGACTGCCCAGTGGTACTGGAAAATGTTGGCTTTCTTCAGCGGATGCTAAATCTGACAGAAATCTGTCTCTTCCTTTTGGTGAAGATGTGGCACACATTTGGTTTCAGCTGTGTGTTGAAAATCCCCAAAGCTCTTCTCACTGATGCTACTGTCTCCACCAATGCCAGCCAACAAGGTTGCACGTAAACATTTAAATTTTAAACATTCTGTGTTTTTTTTCTTTCAGTCCTCCACTGATTAGAACTTCCCCATATTCTTCCTCTGCTGGGTTACGATTACGATTCCTGTAAAGTCACAGCTGTGCTTGGTGGTTTTGCAGCATGAGTAAAGGCAGGATTCAGAGGTGATATTGCTGCTCTGTATTTCTCTCTGTCAAAAGTTATGGATCCATATCAACACTGTGAATGGCACAGTAAGAGACCTGCTTGCACCCGAAATACATTGCTGTTTATTGTCTCCTTCCCCATTTCTGTCTCCTGCATACCATTTCTTAGGAAGCTCCTCTTCATAATTCCTTCAAGATTTAATTTTGTTTGAGGTAAACAGATACTAATGTGCTTTCCATTCCTGTAGACTCACTTTTGTTCATGATCCGTGAAACTTGCATTTGCTCTTCTCTAATAATTCAGCAATCCTTTTGTTCATCCCAATACTTTTTACTTGCGCCTGATGCTTCCCTGTATCTCTCCCGACATAAATTGTCATTTTCACCTCCTGACATTGGGAAAACTTTCCTGGCACAGGTAGAAATAGTTAGGAGAGGATGCAAAGTGAGAGGAAGGTTTCAGTTTTCCAGCCCTCTCCTTGCCCAGTGTGTGCAGACCTGATGCACTTTGTTCTCCACAGTGTGTTAGGGTGTCCATTATCAACAATGGAAGCTTGTTAACACAGTAGCACGGAGACTGTCCATTATTCCTCCTGCTCCTTTTTAAAGAGGCCATTAAAATAGAGGCAAGCTCCTTTCCCTACAGGTTGAATTTTGAACAAATTTAATTTATATTTGTTAGGGAAACTTGTGCTGCTGGGGAGAAAAAAAAAAAAAAAAAAAAAAAAGCCAGATTGACAGTTCTGGAATATAAAGTCCTTTATTCATCCACAACACAGGTAGAGGAAGTGGCTGTTTCGCTTGTCTTGCCAATTTTTGCTCATCTCTGACCTAGAGGTATCACCTCAAGCTTGGAGTTCATTCTCCACATCTTTCTAATCATTGGGCTCTCTGCTGAGGTAGGTGCCAATTAGCACAGGTTATTTTAGTGATGTGGACAGCTGACCATTACAACGGGATGGAAACCACGAATTTTACTTTGTGCAAGGACAGTTCATCATCATGGCTATGTTGGACAAATTCGTGCTGCTGTTCTGAAAGAGTTTGTCTGGGCTTGGGTGACATTGCCAAGACATTCCAGACATCTCAGCCCCACCAGCTGTGCTGGTTTTCACACGGGAAAGGTCTGTGTAGAGTGTGCTGACAGTGAACCAGCTACCACAACCCTGAGCTTTGCTTCTGTCCTCTTTCTGTCCGAAGGTCTAAGTCACCCTAGTCAAGCCAGACAGTGAAATATCACTGTCTGCCTAGAGTCTTCTAGAAAGAAAGGAAAGATGACCAAAAATACCCAGGAGCAGCAAAAACACATTGAAAACCTCATGAAAGAGCTTGTTTTAAAGGATCATCCTGATGTTTCATGCTGGGGAATGGTGATGGTGGGTATTTTTGCCATCAGGCGGAGAGTTACTGCCTGCAAAACCAGGTGCTGTTAGTCCCCAGAAACCCAGCTGAAAGGGAAGAATATCAGGGTCTTGGTCAGGAATGAATGAGCTTGAGGTGATCCCTGGTTGGACATATTCACTGTTTTTAGGTCTGAGCTGAAGTTAATGCATACAGAAGAATCTGCTGTGATTACAGATGTGCCCTGCATTGCTTGTTTGCACAGCAAGAGGCCAAGCAGTCCAAGGAGGCTTTGAAATGTGCTTCTAAGAAAGCAAAGAAGGGGGTGGAGGATGCTGGCACTCTTGGGCAGTGTTACTGACATGCACACAGAGTTGCTCAGTCAAAGGAATTTGCAGCCAAAAGCTCCTCATTGAGCCTGGTGGGCAGTGGAAGCCCCACCTTGTTTGAAAACTTTGAAACATCCCAGGCTATAAATCTCATTCATTTGCATTTCTTTTCAGAGGATGAGGTGGAGCGTGGAGGATAGCAGTATTGATGAGGATTAAACTAGCAAATGGGATGAGGTTGTGGAATACCTAGTGCTAAGCCAAAGTGCTCTGCTTCTGATACATGTACCAAGTGAGAGGAGGAGGCTGCATGTGGCATGGTTCAGTTCATACTGGATTGTTCAATTGTTTTCATAAAGATGGAGAGAAATTGAATCACCCTCGAGAATATGAAGTATTTTCCTTTTTTCTTGATGAAATGTACATATGTAATATTTTACAAGTTTCTGTTTCTTAAAATTAATTTTGGCTGCAGAGGTGTTGTATCTTGGTTTTGTGGGTGGTTTTGGCTTTTTTTTTTTTTTTTTTTTTTTTTGGTTGAAGTTTAAAAGCCCCACCTGTTGAATTTGGAAATTTCCCAACCTTTTTCCTGTTTTTATCAGCCACACCCATGACATCGTGATGTAAAGTGGACTCTTGGAGCGTGGTGTGTCAATCTGACAAGTGTTAGAGACATTGTTTTATTTAAGCTGATTTATTTAGGTTTTTTGTTCAAAAACAACACCAAAAATATCAGACCAACCTTAAAGGAGAGAATTTAAATGGAGTTGTTTGTCTGAATGAAAACAAGCAGGAAAACGTCCTTGACAACAAGATGCATTGTTCTCCTGCCTGGAGAAGGCAAGGCTTGGTCTGAAGCACTGGGGAGAGAAATAGGTGTGGAGGAGCACACATCTTGATAGCTCCATCCTCTATCCTTCCCCAGAGTTCCTTCCAAATGGAATAAAGTTGCCTCCCACTCTGTCTGGTGTAAGAACGGTGCATACGATGATAGAGCACAAATCGGGCGAGGCCTCCCTGAGCCAGGGGAGAGATTCCCCACCAAGTTACCAACATACACTCCAGGCTTTGAATGAACCTTCAGAACACAGCTGCAGCCATCATGGAAATCTGGTGAGTCTCCAAGATGTATAAATATAGATACAGATACACAAATATATAGATATATGGATATACATAGTGAGAGGGAGAGGGAAGGAGGGAGGGAGGGAGAGATGCTGCATAGCAAGACCCTGACAGTCGCCTTTATGCCTGTTGCAAGGTATCAGGAAGGGAAGATTCTCAGCATATTAAAAACAAGTAATGTACAGATCTCCCTGCCTTCCATTCTTCATTCAAACTTGATGTGCAACCTTTCCAACATCAGCCTTAAGGTGGGAGATTTTTTGTCAGCAGATTTCATCCAAAGCAAGGAGTTCTGAAACCATGCATTCATGAACTGAATTCTCTCTTCTCCTCATCCCCTGGTTTGTTTTTTTTTTTTTTCCCTGCTAAAATATCTTGCTGTACAAAGACTTTACTTTTTGGCAGCCACTGGAATCACTTTGTTATGAAGCATCCAGATTTTATCAGACAATTAGCAAGCCAGCTCAGTGTTTGTGTGTGTGCATGTGCGCGTCTGTTTGCATGTGTCCGTGTGGTAATTGATATTCATGATGTATGGCTGGCTGGCTGGAATATCTCACTACCCACACAAAATGATTGCTGGTGAGAAGGCCTTTTCCAGCTCAGTATTAGCATGCTTCATCTGAAATTTGCTTTGCTGACAGGCCTTTTGCTCCTGATTGTGCACTCCTGATGCAAAATGCATCATTGTGCCTAATTTCAAGCATACCAGTTCTGTAATAATCTCCCGAGGAGATATTAAGTTATATCTATTTGTGCTGTCTTGGGTGATCATGCAAGTTGCTAGCGTGACAGCAGCAACAAGACCTGGATACAGAACAAACAAAGGAAGGGCCTGCCAAAGCCACAGACGTGTGCTCCAGTTGTGGTGGTAATATATGAGGTATGCAAGATGTCTTTTTAGGAATGCTGGGTTCTCAGCCTCTGCAGGTTAAATATTCCCCTCTGCCTCACGTCAGCTGAATTGATGGTTTTGCCACCCAGCAGCCCCAGGAAGATAATAACTGTCAGTCACCAGCAATCTGCGCTGCGTTTACAGTAACAAACAGGACGCCAGTTTGGGGAGAAGATGATATTTGTACAAATAAGTGACCACATAATGTTGCAATAGTTGTTGCCCCTTTATACATATATGTGTGTCCAGAACACGTGGGACAAGTGAGTGTTAAACACACACCATTCAGAGCTGGATCTGGGCTTTAATGAAGGCATTGTAGCAAAGTCATTTCTATACCTGCCTTGATGAAGAATGCAACATGGATGCGGAATCCCTGTGAAGAAATACATTATGAGATTTCTTTTTTGCTGGTTCAGCCCTATTAATCTGTTCAGCATGAGCTCAAGTATTTTAATAACAGGCATGGCATATTATGCCTGCTATGAAATGGTTTTTTTTTTAAGCACAACTTGGGCTGTGTTTGTGTTAACCTAGTTGAGGGAAAAAACCCAGGTTTTAAGCTTATCCTCCTTTTCTTTCACTAATCACAGCTACAGGGCAAAACATACCAAGGCTCTAATAGGAGAAATAGCATTATCATATGCTAATTTACAGTAATGTTAAGAATAGCACAAAGAACAAGCCTTTGAATGTATGTGCATGTTGAAATTCATACTTGTGAATAGACCTGTGGCATGGCTGGTTGGTCTTTTGGGGACAGAATTTGTGTTCCTGAGTAAACTGCATTTTGGGCATTGGTGCTCATATAAGAGTTCTTACTAAGAGACTGGTTTTTTTTGGTGTTTTTTTTTTGTTTTGTTTTTTTCCTGGTTTTGCCTGTGTTTATTTCCTGCTGAATACTACTGCAGGAAAAGGTACTCAGTCTGCAGCCAAAGACTATCTGCTCTCTATGATCAAGAACAACCTCTCCATCTCTTACAGGAATAGACACTGACAGCTACCAAAAGAATATCTGTCTGTTCCTCTTCCTCTGGAAACTGCAGGCTGCACTAGAGAAGTCCAAGGGTGAGAGAAACTACAAATGGAGAAGAGAAAGGACATCTGAGAGTCTTCACTAAATAATCAGAAGACTGATGGATTTCAGACAAAGACAGGAGTTATATAACACATTCCTCCTCTGTGAGTAATCATATGCAAAGATTGACATGTTTGTGAGTGTTCCCAAAACTGATCCTGGGCTTACTGTGGCCATTCCTGCATGAAAAAAACATCAGTCAGAGGAAAAGAGGAAAAAGAAAGAGAGGGAGGAAAAAAAAGGAAAGAAGTGTGATTGTGCTCCTAGGACAACATCCTGAATTTTTCCCTGGTGGACCCTTGCCATTACCATGGCAAAATGCCTGGAAACTGCCGTTCTTTTCCACAAAAAAATGTTTTGAAGGAAGAACAAAAGAAGTTTGAGCTTTTGGCAGATCATTGAAGATCACTGTGTTCAGATCCTCAGCTGGTGTAAATCAAGATAACTGCAATATTGCTACAGTAGTTAAAAACTGACTGACTTTCCCATCTATCATGGCTTGCTGCTACGGGGGAATATTTCTTTACAGCTTAAATAGAGGAAGGAATTGCTTTTACTGCATGTTGCATGTCTTCGTGTTAAGAAAATATTTTTTATCCTTAATTGCTTAAGCTCCCTTGTGTATATAAGGTGGTGGTGCCTTCTGTCATGGAGGCGTTTGCTGTGTGTGACACCTTGCTTTATTTCTTTGGTTTGCTAGTTGAATGACATGTTAATCTGCTGTGAAGGTGCATAATAGGATCAATGGGAATCAGGAAGTATGTTTTAAATTAAAAAGAGGTCCTTTCTTTGTCTGATTCATGTTTCTGTATTATATCACAGCATGTGTGGCCAAAGAGTATTCCCACTAGGCCAGGATAACCTGATGCTGGTCAATAATTAAATAATAATCTGTAAAATTGAAAGGCTTTATGTTTCAGAGTGAAAGAATGTTCTTGCAGCTAATGGTAGTCAACAGGCAAGCACCCTGAGACCTCCATACATGCAAATACCTCATGATCATTCAGCTACAAGGGCTTGTAAATCCATTTTTACAGTTGCAGAAGGATGAAGTCTATAGACCCTCCTTTGCTTATGAATCAAGGTGCAGTGCATCTGACTATGCCACAGCACTGATTTGGTTTTTTTTTTTTTGCTCTTCTACATCGAGAGAAATGTCTTGGGGAAATTAAACTCATCTGAACTATGTCAGGAATTGCATGTGACCACAAGAATTAGATAAGCCTAGAAAATTCCATTATCTGCTCATACCACTCATTATTTGATGGCCCAGTCTGGATTTGTGATGTTGTTGAGGTTTGAGCACTGAAGCAGGAGAGGCAGGAATATACCTCCACGTGCCTGTGTGGTGGGACTGAGTGGCTGAATCAGCAGCAGTGCTCCACCTTCAAGTGATCAGGAAGCAGACACAGATCTCAGAGACAGACCCCACATTCCCTTACATCCCAAATACACTCAGCTCTGCCCACCCCTTGCTGTGCAAGTACCTAAGGCTTTCCACATCATGGAATACTGCAGCAAAATTTATCTCTAAAGGCGTTCTGGAAGACAGACTTCCATTTATGTTGAGGAACGTTACTCCTGGTCTGCAGCCCAAGTGCCGTATCCTGTTTATACATGTATTCACTTGTCTGTCTTCTCTTGATAAAGGGTATTATTTCAGGATCATCTAGCAGCTGATTTGATTAGCTGTGTTATCTTCCAGAGTGCTCTAATGCTGCTCTGTCCCCAGACCAAGGGAATGTGAGGTTGCCAAGGTAAGAATCATAGGTAGCAAATAAAATACCATTGAGACTGGGAGAATTGGATTCTGGTAAGGAGTAGCAGCCCTCTGAACTTCCACTTTTCCCCAGGACTGTCCCAGATGGCACTGTGCTGATGAAAGGAGATGAGGTGGGTCCATCAGCTAATCCAGGAAGGAGATCTTCTCCCTGAGGAAGCCACAGCTCTGCCTTCAGCTGGCAGTGGGCACTGACTGGTCCAGTGCTCACCCAAAGGTCACCTCTGTGATGAGCATCATTGTGAGGAACACTGTGTAGGCTCTTTTAAACCCCTTGTGCTGATAGAAAATGCCAAGGCTGGGAGAAATCTCCCCCAGATTGTTGTTTTAATACATATGGAATTAATTTTTTTTTTAACAAGTGTTGCATATTCTTGATTAAATATAGTTTTCAAAATAACATTTCTCCTGCACTCTTTCTTTTATTCCTGTGTCTGGTCTCAGAAAAATCTTTTTTTTCCTGTGTCTGGTCTCACTGCAAAAATAAGTAGAACATGGGACTATTTATGGGGAGACTTAAATTTTCTTTTTGAATCTACCTATTTGCTTCTCTGTTACAGAGGAATATCACACCATTTCTTTCTGCCTTGATTTACTTTTGCAAAACAATAGTTAGTAAAATGTTACAGCCTTTTTAGGTGGCTGCTCCATTAATGCTCCCAGCTGCCCTTGGACATCTAAAGAAAGGGGAGAAAACTCAATGAATGAGAGATTTCTGATCGGGGAAATTCAGGAAACTGTGAGTTCACTGGGGCAAAACATGGCTCTGGTAAGCAGTACAATACTAACAGGGCTGAAACCCTTCTGAGTGCGTGGCTGGGAGAAACCTTGCACAACATGCACCTGGCTGAACTCCTTTATGGTTGGAATCATTGAGAGATGAATAGGAATGGATTTGCACAATGCTATGGATTGCTACACCTCTTCTGGGGTACCAAGCCTGTTAGTGCTGTTTCCCACCATTCTCCTTTTGTCTCTGAGCCTGTCCTTTAAACACCCAGAACCTGCCTGTGGGTGAGGCCTCCTTCCTTACTGAATCCACCCATGACCTTCTCATGAGGTCAACCCCTTCTAAGGTTCTCCCCACCAGCATTTTGTACTCATTTTTCTTCCATGCTTTCCACAACTTTCCCTCCTTTCAGTCAGGCCCAAGGAGAAAGAAACTTCAATATCATTTGTATCTGCCATCCTTGAAAACTTCCTTTCCTCGTCTAGTGCTTAATCACAGAATGGGTGGGGTTGGAAGGGGCCTCTGAAGATCACCCAGTCCAACCCTTGCCAAAGCAAGGACACCTGGAGCAGGTGACGTGGGACCACACCCAGGTGGCTTTGAGGTGCTTCCAGAAGACTCCACACCCTCATGGGACAGCTGTTCCAGTGTTTTGCCACCCCCAATGGGAAGAAGTTCTTCCTGGTGTTGAGTTCTTGTTGTGTTTAATTCATGGCCACTGCTCCTTGTCTCTGGGCACCACTGAAAAGAGTCTGGAACCATTCTCTTGTCACCTGCATGATTTTTGCATGCGTTAATGAGATTCCCCCCTCAGTCTCCTCCGTGCCCAGACCAACCATGCCCAGCTCTTGCAGTCTCTCCTCACAGGAGAAATGCTCCAAACCCCTCCTCATCTTCGTGGCCCTTAATGACCACACTAAGCCTTTCCAGCAGACCTTGGTCTGCATGTTTACAGCTGGTGTGTGCCACACACCCTTCTCTCCCATGGACTGAATTCTCCTGCATGTGCATGCCAATTCTGCTCTGCCTGCTGCATCCAGCACGTGGCAACCTTGGAGCACCACAATCCTGTGAATGCTGCTTTTGATCACCCTGCTTCTGAGCTGTGCCTTTGGTCCTTCACTGAGGCTTCCTGTAGTCTGATCCTGTCCAGATCCTGCTTGCTCTCAGAACAGAGAGTCTTTGAGGATGGATGTCACTGATAACCAGAATGGGTCTGGTGTATGTTCACTTCTGAGGACCCTGGAGAAGAAAATTAGCCCAGGAACGAGGTGTAAGTCAGGCTGAGTTATCTTTGCAAGGCATCTAACCTACTGACAAATGGACATCTCTGCTGTCTCCAGAGCACTGGGGATTTCTGAGAGCCAAGCTGCTCTGTGAGAGCCCTCGCTAATAATAAATGCCTGCCCCCTCCAGCATGGACTAACTGCACCTCTGTCTATGCTAGTGACTTCCAGCATCACCCAGCTCCTGTTGAAGCCAGGAACAATACCTTCCTTAGTCCAGGATCACAAGCTGTAACCTCCTCTGGGGATTTTCTGTGGCTTGAACGCTGTCCTCATTTTAAGCGGACTCTTGATCTTCCAGGGAGAGAGCTGCAATGAGCTGTGAGAGCTGAGGAGACGAGTGGTGGAGCAGAACAAGTGTGCTAGAGGGGTTTTTGGTGTTTCTTTCAGGTTAATGCAATCACTAAAGATAAAACCTCTCCAGCAGAAAGATAATACAGCTTCCCTTTCTTTAACTCCACATTAAGAGTGGTTTACACACACATAATAGATACTAGAAAAATATGGGAGATGAGACTGCACAAGCTTTCAATAACAGCTGCAGAAAACAGTAAGTTATCGTCTCAATCAAGAGGTCTTGAAAATGTAATAGGGGAGCTAGCATTTCAAGAGGACAGCTATGTTTGTCTCTGTCCTTACCAATCACTTCCTTCCTCCTTTCTGTACACAGGGCCCCCACAAAAGCCTCTAAACATAGTTTATTGTTTTATGTCTGCTTAAATAACTTGTGAAGAGGGATTCCATTGTGGTAAAAGAGTTGTAGTTGGGTTTGAGGGATCTGGCATAATTTTCAGATCCATGATATTCTTCATTCCCTAGCTGTGTCTTCCTGTTCAAAGACAGTGGTGGGTGGCAGAAGGTGCACTACCTTGCCTTCCAGAAGACTGTAATCATTTTAAGATGGATACCACCTGGCTGATATTCTGGATATGAGGAACTATCAGCATGTTTTGAGTGAGTACACATTTATATGGCCACACTTCCCTGCATTTCTGAGCTGGATTGTTCAAAGCTATCTGTGTGCGTGATGTACTGCCATGAGCTTACGCCCTTCCTGTCTGAAAGCATCTCCTCCCAATCCACATACAATAGCAGTGGCATGACTGTTTTCCCAACCTCTGTCTCTTTTACTTATTTTCATTAGAAGCCTATTTTTTTTTTTTTGCAGAGACTGTCTCATCTGCATTGTCTTTTTTTTCAGTCCATCTCTCAGAAATGTCTTGCACGAGGAGTGGAGGATGAATAAGATAGTTGTGACTTAAAGAAAAAAAAAAAAAAAGCATATCTGTGTTTTTCTGCCAGTTGATGCAGCTATTACTTTGAAAGGTGATTGTGAGGAGAAGAAAAGTCTGTGATAAAAAGTCAACAAGCAATGGACACTGAAGAGGTGACATTCTCTTTTGGAGTGAACTACTTCATGTGGCACACACTGGAGGGGTAAACACCCAACAGTTAGACAACGATACTGCATTTTTAGAAAGGGAATTGGGCTTTTTGACCCCTCCTAGCTCAAAGTAGGTCTATGATCATGTGTAACCATGGCAGACAAGCCATTTCAGCCCCCCACAAATGGGTCGAGGGAGCTCCTTGAATGCTCCTTTCCCTTGGCACATCTGTAAGAGGAAGGTATCTTTTCCTGCTGATGCTGAATCAACTCACCTTTGCTGTGAGAGAATATGAGCAATTCTTCTCTCCCAATATCTTTTCTGTGACTCAGATAGTGGGAAACACTGCCATCATTTACCTATGCATCTCCTCTCTATCTTATTGGTGCCCCATAAAACAAAGCCTCAGAAAGGATGAAAAGTTGTCAGTTCTTTGCCTGTGCTGCCACTTTGCAAACCCTAAATAATAGTGAGATTATGGCATGCTATAAAAGTACCTTGAGATAAACCTGTCTAAGTGCAGGGCTGATATTTGCTTTTGGATTAGATTTCAGTATGATCTCTTTCTTCTCTCTCTCTCTCTCTCTCTCTCTCTCTTTTTTTTTTTTTTTTTTTTTTTTTTTTTTTTTTTTTTTAAGATAGCTCTTGTAATTCTCTTAGAAATTCAAAGAATAGCCTTGAGAGTGAACCTGCAGAACACATTGTTAGGCCAGAAAGGAAGACCAAATTAAGTTTACTTTCAGCTGATTTGTTTGTGCTCTTAGCTGAGTTACTCAGCCTTTCATGTAGTTCTCCCATGCAAGTACTAATCTGGCTCACTGGCCTTTGAGATCTTAAAGGATCCTAGCTCAAGCCCAAGCAAAGTACATGTGGTGTCTAGACAGAGAGTTTAATTCACACTCAGACTGCAAAAAGAGTCTGAGGTTGTTTGCCTTTACATTAGAAAGGCTGAGCTTGCTTAAAACTTGAGTTCAAGAGCTTGAGGTCTGGCTTTCCAGGATAAGAAGTTGTTCTTACTAAAACAGAAAGAAAAGGTATGACTTAAGCAAGAAATACCTTGGTCATCATAAGCTGATGGACAGGCAGACCCTGGAAAGTAAATATAAATAAACTAACTATCAATCAAAGCTCTTCTCCTTGTTTTGTCCCTTGCTCGGGTTCACCTTCAGAGCTGTTCCAGAAGGAGCTGGTGGTTCTTGCTATGCCTGTGCCTGGTTTTACAGCTGTCAATGGCTGACTTGTTTTTCACCTATTTTTATGAAAATGAAACCTAAAAAATGGGAAAGCTATTCTCCACCAGAGAGACCACCTTCCAGGACCGATTCAAAGTCTCCTCTGGCCCCAGAGAGATGCCTGTTGTTTGCCGTCCTTGGACCAGTGAGTTAACCTCCAGGGGGTGGCCAGGAGGGCTACAGAGAGCTAGCCTGGTGCATCTGTCTCATCAAAAAAAAGAATTTTTTGAAGTATTTTCCAGAAGCTTAGCAAGCTATCTTGAGGCTGCCTCAAAAGCTCATTTGGGGAACCCCGTGGGCAGTTCAGTGGTGATATGTCTTGTTCTCCAAGTTTTATTCTCTGGTGTTGCTGACAGAGCCATCCACATTCTCTAAATCCTAGGAGTCACATCAATGAAACTGTCACTGTTTTGTTGATGAAAAGTAAAAGAAAGCATGTTTTTGGTGACCTTAGGCTGGCAAGTCAGTGTGAAATTAGCAGTGAAAACTGGAATTACCTTTGACCTTTCTTGCCCCAAGTTTGAAATTAACTTCGCAAAATTCTGGTGGGAACAGGTGGAAATGCCAGGCTGCCCTGGTGCTGAAGGCAGTGACTGCATCATCTCCTTTGGTTTGTTTTCGCCAAACCCATCCACAAGTGGCTAACATGCAAAAAAACCCCAAGCCATTTCATGTCATCTGACAGACAGCCACGCAGGGGTTGTGGCTCTCATGATTTATTAACTTGGAGTGGCTGTGAATTGACCACACAGAGGTACAGGGCTTTG